CAGGAGGCAGGGTGCCACCAGCCATCGCTGTGCACAGAGGTGGAGGAGCAGGATGCAGGAGTTCAGGGTTTCCTGACACCCACAGGCACGGACGTGCCGTTGATCATGATGCAGGAGTGTGGGGTGGGGGGCACAGCAACGCTCCCCAACGTTTCACAGAGCAGAACCAGTTGGAGCAGAACCAGTTGCCCTTACCAGTTACACTGCGGGGGCGAGGTGCCTGCGCTCTCGGGGCCGAACCAGGTGACCCACAGAGGTGGAAGGCAGCAAAGCTTTTCCAGACCCACAGCCAAGTCCAGGAGCACAGGGACACTGCGGCAGCTGAACCCAGATTTCCTGAGCCAGCTCCCAGTGCCCCGGCCCCGAGGCCTTGGCAACTTGCATGCTCCAGCAGCAGGTCATGGGAGCACCTTGTCCCATGGTAACTGTACCTCCTCTTCCTGTTTGAAGTGATAAACGAGCTGGATGGCCTGGCCAAGGGCCCAGAGATGGAGCACCGGGCTGCGGGCTATGCCCGCCAAGTGCAGGAGAGAGCCAGGAAGTCCATCGAGTTCCTGGAGGAGCGATTTGAGAGCAGGGACAACTGCCTGAGGGCTCTGACCAGCCGAGGCAACGAGCTGGAGTCCATCTCCTTCCGCAGTGAAGACACCACTGGCCAGCAGGTAAGGGGCATCCTGGACACTGAGTTATTTGCCACCACCTCCTTGGGGAAGATCAGGGACCCTGGGGTCCAGGAGGTCTGGGCAGGAGGTACCTCTGTCCCCCTGTTTGCAGATGACTGAGCTCTTGTTTCAGGTCAGAGTGGCCCTGTTCTCTACTGAGCTGTGTTGGGGTGTCTCGAGGTGGTGCAGCAGTCAGGGTGGTGGGGGTGCAGGGTTTTCCCTGCCAGGGGTAACATTGCCCTTTTTTTTCCAGGGAAACAATGATGACCTGATTCTGTCCTGCTGCCTCCACTATTGCAATGACAAGGCCAAGGATTTCATGCCCTCCAACAAAGGTAGAATATCCTCACATCTTCTTTGTCCCTTCTCTGTTGCATTCCACAGACTCTTCCAGTTTCTCTTTCATGACTCTTGGATCTGTTCTCTCCTGCATTTTGCCTCTTTCAACACCAAGGTGCCACCTCCTGCCTCCGGTCGGCCCAAGGCTGTGGCCCTCCCACCTCATTGCCAAATGTGCACCTCACAGCACTTTGGGGATGCCCCAGCCTGTGACAAACCCACCATAAATGTCCACAGAGCCATTTTTGTGGTGACAAAGGGCCAGAAAGCGCCTCCTCCCCACACCCCACCCCCCCCCATGCCTTCTGTCCAGGGCTCTTTTCCCTCCTAATTCCTGGTTGGCATCGGCCACGTGTGCTGGGACCAGACAGCCCCCAGGCTGTTGCCAGGGCGGCGGGGATGGGAATCGCATCAGCAGCTGCCCAAGAAATCAACCCGCATTTGTCAGTGCGAATTCTTAGCAGCTTAACTTGTCAGATTCACAGAGAAACCGTCACCAAATGTTTATGTGCAAATGATGCTGAATTTTGAAATCATGTGGATTATGGGGAATGGGGCCTGACAAGCTGACAGCCTCTGGTTTGTAACAAGGAGGCGCGTCACCAGCACGGAGCAGAGGATGTTTATTGTTACACATTTCTTAAAGTGTCCGCACAAAACCTCCCAATCCTGCTTTCAGCAGCCCTCAGTCCCCAGCCTGCCTTCCCACTGATCCCCCAGTCCCCTTCCTCCTGGCATGGGCCAACCAGGTGCTGACCCCACCATCCTCAGCCCCAACACTGTGACCGTAGCCCGCGTTCCTGGCCACCCTCCCCTTCCCCTCGTCCTGCCGCTCCCTGCACAGCCAATCTGGGCCCATGTTGGGCTCCCATAAACTCTGTTTTTTCCATTCCCGTCCTGGCTCGGAGGCACTGTGTTTCCTGTGCTCATAGGAACAGTACTCTGGTCACAGGACCCAGCTGCTTACACATACCCCATATGCTTCCCCTGCCTCGCACACACGTAAGCGTGGCTCCCACATCCCCACCCGGCACGTTGCGTGCGGGGCAGCTCATCCATATGGGGGCAAGATCCCTTAGGATATTTCTCAGGCATCAACTCTCTCTGGCTGTCTGAGCCCCATCCAGAAACGCCTCAGTGTCAGTGGTAGCTCCAAAAAAGCTCCACAAAAAATAAGGGGTGGCTTAAGATCTTATAATGAGATCAACAGAATAATAGCACCAGCTTCCTGCTGGAACCAGGGTCGCGGGCTGTCTTCCTGGCCTGGGTCAAGCAGAGACCTCCTCTTCCCAGCCTGTGGCCGGTCCACCACCCTGCGTGGGCAGTGGGCAGCAGGCAGAGCTCACAAATCATCCCTGGGGCAGCGTGGTGAGGGGAGCAGACAGCCTTTGGGATGAAGGGCAGTCTCTGAGCCACGCCAGGAAGCCTTGGCAGGGAGCAGAGAGCTGTTAGCAAGGAGAGTGGGGGGACACACCGTGGGATGGGTGCAAGGGCTGAAGCAGAGCAGGCAGGTCTGTGCTTCACTCTCTCTCTCTGTCCTCGTTGCAGACGATCCCATCCGTTTGCTCAGGGAAGTGGTTTTGCTGACGGACGACCGGAACCTGCGAGTCAAAGCGCTGACCCGCAACGTGCCGGTGCGGGACATCCCCACCTTTCTCAAGTGGGCCCAGGAGGGCTGAGGGGGCCGAGTGGGGCCGACGGCCCCTGAGCGAGTCACGCAGCCTGTTACGGTGGGAGCCCGGCTTCAGCAGCGGCCTCGCCGCGCCGCCACCGCCGCCAGCCCACCACGAACAATAAACGCCACGTCTTCAACCCACCCCAGAATGGCCGTGCTGCGAAGGGCCCCCCGAGGGCAGACCAGCTGGGAAGGTCATTGCTGTGGATGGTTCACGTGGAGGCTGGGCCGTTGAGGGTCCTGCCAGCCTTTGGGCAGTGCCAGCGCGGAGCCGGCCAGCCCCGCTGGCGAGGGAAGCTTTGGGTGAGCCCCGTGCTGGATCGCCAGCCTTTTGCTTGGTTTGCTTGGGTGCAGAGAGTTCGAGTCACGCATTGGTGGCTCTTTGGGTTAGTAGGCTGCGTAGGGCAGAGATTGGGGACACACCGGCACAGACTTTGGGATTGCTTAGTCTAGCCTGTACCCCTTGGAGAGGCCGTGGACTTCAAGGGCAGGTTCCCTCCTGCCCCAGCCTGTTTGTCCTGCGTGGCCCAGACAGCCCCAGGCCTCCAGCCCCTTCCCCACTTGTGCCACCCCACGCAGGGGTGCTGCTTGCAGAGGGGCTTGTCCTCTCCCTTGTGCAGGATTTGCTTGTTGAGTTTCATTTCTTCAGTGTAGGTTAGTTTTCAGGTGTGTGCCCTGCCTGCTTTGCTGGGAGAGGCTTTGAACACCCCCAGTCTCCCACAGCTGCTTTGTTCTGATCTCCTGCCCACCCCAGCCGTTACCTGCCCCTTCCCTTCTCCCCCAAACCCCTTCGTCCCAACCCTCATACCTTTCGGCACGCTTTTGACCTAAGACGCAATGTGAAGCTAACAAAGTTCTGCAAGGGCCCCAGGGCCAGCTGTCCCACAGGTTCTGTGTCTCCTCACATTGCCACAGGTTCCCCTTCCATGTGGGATCTAGCTTCTGTCCATGGCTGTGGGGCTGGGCAGAGCTAGAGAGAGCTGGGGCAGCACTCAGCCCCTCATTACTTGCCCAGCTGAGAGGATCCCCTTCCAAGATGCCCCATGGATAGAGCCATTGCCTTGTCCCTGAGTCATTCCGCACTGGGATCTGGGGTTCAGGTGCTGCTAAGCCCACCACACCCCATGTTGTCCCATCACCAAGTGTCCCATCCCCAGTGACACACCAGATACAGAAGCTAAGAGGGAGCATTAACCCCTGAACTGGAGCCCCTGGAGCTCTGTCAAGTCCCAGTCCCATGAGTCGAGGGTGGGAACGACCCCAAGGCCGTCCCCAGTCCCTGCTGGGGCACCGTGGCCGTGGGAGGGAAGCGTCAAAGGTGGCAGAGGAAGCAGCAGGACAGAGCCCAGCGTTTTTCCTTTCCTGCGTGGGTGGTTCAAGCCCGGTGTCTGCATCAGGAAGCCCAGTTACCCCTGTGCCAGTTGCCCAGCCTCACAGGGAGGGCCAGCACTGGGGTCAGAGCCTTGGCAGCGTGATGGAGTTGTGCTGGCTAACCTGTGCCAGAAGAGTGCCCCAGCCTCGGGGCACCAGGCAGAGGGTCTGTGTTGCAGGGCAGAGCCTGACCCACAGGGACTTTGGGGTGCCCACAGCTGCTGTAGGGCACACGAAGCCATGGTGGGCCCACCCAGAGCCATGGTACACACAGCACCCATGTCCCAGTTCCATGCCCACAGCTGTCAGCATGGCAGAGACTTTGCCTTCTCCTCCGCGCTGGTTGTGTTTCAGTGTTTGTTTTCTAATGGTGCTGCCCCAGCACTGCTTTCCAAGGCCCTTCCTGCGGCACCACCAGCTTGGAAGGCCCTGTGGCTCTGCCAGACACTGATTCCTTTCACTGTGTCATGGGTTCAGCTGTGGGACAGTCTCGGTGCCACCAGACCAAGTTGGCACAACAGCAAGTGGAGCCCATGCCTGGGGCCACCCCTGCCAGGCTCCTCGGAGCCCATGTTTTGGGGCAGCATCCATTTTCGGGCTGTTTTGTTAAGTTGGTTTTAATAATTTCTATTAATAAAGACGTGTCTGTGCAACCTGGTGTGTCATTTGCTGTTGGTGGGCAAGTTGCTGCTGAAGTTGGGGTGGGGGTCACCAGAGAGGGATGGCAGTGGGACACATTCCTGCTTGCAAGGATGACAACAGCTCTGTCCCACCTGCAGCTGCTGCTGGCCCCCCCTAGCTGAGGGGCTCTGAGCAAACCAGATGCACAACAAAGCCCCTCAGGTCACCCACAAACCCCTCGGGGTCACCTCTCAGACCTGCTCAGCACCAGCCCTGCACCAGCCAGGCCTCCCCCCAGAGAAGGACGTGAGGCCACGCATGTTAATGTCACTTTATTGCTCATTCCATTTCGACTATAGAAAAAAAAAAGGGCGAGGAGCCCGTGTACAAATGGACGTGATACAGGGGGGCCGGGGCCCT